GCAACTTTTTATTACTCATTGTGCAGTGGTTCCCAAACTTTTTCTTCTGCGCCCCCCCCAGTGGTTTCCAAACATTTTCTGCGCCCCCCCTATGGATTACAAATGGCTGTCTGGTTGAAGACGCGTGTGACGGGGGGTCGTCAACTTCTTTGGGGGCAAAATGAATGTACGTAGCTGAAAATAGACACCAACATCATAGCCTACAAGATACTTGTTAAGCTTAAGGTTCTGTATTGATATTAGCTAGTCATTATTACCTGCATCCAACAGCTTTACTCAACTCAGTCGGTTAGTTTGGAGGGAAAAACTGTGAAAAGTTCTTTGCGTTTTGCTGGTTTGCTGCCATCATTCTAACACAAACCTACGTAGCTCCGCACAGCAGCAGCAGGTCTCCTTCAGGTGTAAACCCAGCGCGAGCGTCGTAGCGCTCATGTTGCGTTTAAAGGTGGCTTGGAAAAACAGGTTACAACACGTTAACAACAGATTAAACAGTTTTAACTGCTGATAAAAGTGACAGAGGACACAAATATGGGAAGTGTGGAAGCCTCTACTGAATCAAATTAACATAGGAATAACAGATATGTTACTTCGTGGCCCAGAGGAAAAGCCTTGGGCCAGTCAGATGACACCAGATTTAGTGATTTTTATTGTTTTTTTGTTTTGTTTTTTTTTTTTAGAAAAAAAAAAGGTAATTTTGTCTTACATTCTAAACTCTCATTGCATTCACTATGAAGCATGATGGCCAGTTCATTTTTTTCTGCAAAGGTTTTATAATTTTTCTTCATTATCTTCAAAAATAAAATTAAATGGGAGCCTTTAAAAATGACAAAATTCCTGAACAAATGTACGTTTTTTTTTTTTAAAGGTCATGTAACATTTGCGGCTCTAAACGAGTCTAATTCAGCTGCATTGGAGGCAAATATGGATCTTAGCATCGCAAAGGTTGCACGTTCCTGGTTTAAATCAAAGCACATTCAGGTTAGAACGGCCTAGTCAAAGTTCAGATTTAAATTCAGTTGAGATTCAAAGAAGAAGGGGTAACGGTAACGCTTTTTCTATGTCGTGCATAATCAATTGTGCACTACTTTGTTTTTGTCTGCTAACTTGTAGGCAACTTGAGGTTGTAACATGACACAACATGAAAAAGAGCAAAGAAAAACTCCCCATCTTGGAGTTGAATGCAAAAAAACACTTGGAGGTCATCTTAACCTTCCTGCTGCCCGGTCCTCCCTCCCCCTGCTGGACAGTAGAGGCGAC